TAATGATCTAGATCGAAAGTTAAAGTGCAGTATTACACTGAAAACTTAAATCGCCACTGACGACTGTACTGTTCACATATGCCAAGATGATGCTGAAGGCCACTTACACTCTCACTGACGACTGCAATGTCATCAGCCTGCGTAGGGCAACAGACTGATAAGTCTAGAACACGGGCACAATTGGCACTGTCAGTCAACTGGTTAAGAAGATCATAATAAATAACAAATACAGCTTAGCCGACAGGACTCCATCTTGTCTGACACCACGTTGAAGTATGAGATTTCTTGATAGTTGGCTGCCTAATCGCACACCGCTGGTCATCCCCATGTAAAGATTATCTACTAAACGCCAAAGGTAGCCTTCGGCTCCGGAGCCGAATAGTTTCTTTACAAGCCCGTCGTGCCACACAGAATCGAAAGCTTTAGTGCTGTCGAAAAAGGCTACATGTACGTTACTGGATCTCTGGAGGTACTGATGAATCGTTTCTTGAAGATTCAATGAGGCATGTATGGAAATAATCCTTTCTGGTACGCGATTTGTTGTGGATTCGGGAAGTTTTTTTGATCATTTAGTTGTAACAGACGATATTCTATGACCTTCTCGAACACTTTTCCTATTGTTGGTGTTAAAGATATTCCTCGATATGAGTTGAGATCAAGATTTATCTTCGTTTCCGCCTTTGAAAATTGGAACGATACCACTATGTCGCCATTGGCTTGGGATTATATTTGCAGCAAGGATTGAATTGAAAAGGTTAGCCAGATGAAGGTATAGTTTTTACCACCATGAATGAGATGTTCATACTGTATATAATGGCTATCGGATTTAAGAGATCTACATTTCAATCTCGGAACACGAGGTAAGGGCACTGATAGGCAGTTCGCAGTAGTGTGAACCATTCCTTGAGAACAAACTATAACAGAGAGAGACAGTACGCTCCTTGAGTACAAACTGTAACAGAGAGAGACAGTACGCCCCTTGAGTACAAACTGTAACAGAGAGAGACAGTACGTTCCTTGTGAACAAACTGGAATCGAGAGAGACAGTACGTTCCTTGTGAACAAACTGTGACAGAGAGAGACAGTACGTTCCTTGTGAACAAACTGTGACAGAGAGAGACAGTACGTTCCTTGAGAACAAACTGTAATAGAGAAAGACAGTACGCTCCTTGAGAACAAACTGTAACAGAGAGAGACAGTACTATCCTAGAGAACAAACTGTAATAGTTAGAGACAAGTACTATCCTTGAGAACAAACTGTAATAGAGAGAGACAGTGCGTTCCTAGAGAACAAACTGTAATAGAGAGAGACAGTACGTTCCTTGAGAACAAACTGTAACAGAGAGAGACAGTACGTTCCTTGAGAACAAACTGTAACAGAGAGAGACAGTACGTTCCTTCAGAACAAACTGTAACAGAGAGAAACAGTACGTTCCTTGAGAACAAACTGTAACAGAGAGAGACAGTGCGTTCCTAGAGAACAAACTGTAACAGAGAGAGACAGTACGTTCCTTGAGAACAAACTGTAACAGAGAGAGACAGTACTGGAATACTGGAAAACGTATCGGTTATGAAAATATTACTTATTTTTTACGATAGACTTACCGTAGATTTCAACTTCACATAAAGCAATATAATTCTTGGTTTCAGAATATCGACTGATATTAAGATAACGACCAGTTAAAGTTCCATAACATTCTATTGGAAATACAGCAGGAGGGTCTGATGTATCAGTATGTTGAAAACATAATTTATCATCAATATGTACTGAAAATCCTTTAAAAACGTATAATCCTGAAATATCAATTTATACATTTCATTATATAACCGAAAATCCTTTCAAATATTCTAATTCTAAAATATCAATTTTAAAGTCCTGTAACAAACGCTCACAGTTTCAAAAGCGGTACAACTGTCCAGGCTGATTTCAGTGTGCGGCAACTTTGTGACCGTTTCATAGTCGCAAGCCTCCCATGGGGTGTCTGAGAGGATTTTTTTAAAAATTGAATTGATTTAGTGCATTCTGACACATATTTAGGGGCAAAACGTATAAAAATCATTTTTTTAAATTTGCTTAAAATAAAGTTGCGGTGCAATATTAGGGGTGAAAACCATTTTTTAGTGGGGAGGGGGGGGGGGGGCGCCACTGCATGTACTAAACTACAATAGCTTATATATCTTTTCTTATAGATAGTCAGTGATTTCAGTTTATTACTGTGTTATTTGAAAAAATTTAAATCTTACGATCATATTTGTGAAAGATCTTTAAATATCCTATAGGATATTCTTCTTGTAAATCTATAAACCACCACTGCCAAGTTGAGTTATCAGTGTCAGTGTCACTACAGTAATGTATGTTTCTATTGGTATCGTTATATCCATCTACAACTAGTTTCGGACCATATAAATCTTGTCTATTGTTAAATACGCCACTTTGACTAACAAACATAGAATCTGAGGCTATATTCTCTGAAAGAAAAATAATAGCATCCTTTAGTTTGTTTAACTGATCATTATAATTATTACAAAAAAAAAGAATCTGCTGCGTCATCAACATTTCGAGTGTACAGATTTATAATATTGTTAGTATGTTTCATTCAAAGTGCGAAATGACTGGATGGTGAAAAATTTATCACTTTAGAAAATCTTAATTCATTAATACCTCTTTGACAAGAAGGTCCTCTCCAGCCTCTTGAACATCCACTACCACATCTACCAGTAACAGTATCACATGTTTCATTATTTAAACAATGACAGGTAAAACTATTGTTATATCCAAATTTATAACCTGAAAATATAACAATATAACATTAGTTATAACAAACACTAATCACAGTATCACTTCTTTCATCATTTAAACAATGACTAGTATAACTATTGTTATATCCAAAATTATAACCTGAAAATATAACAATATAACATTAGTTATAACAAACACTAATCACAGTATCACTTCTTTCATCATTTAAACAATGACTAGTATAACTATTGTTATATCCAAAATTATAACCTGAAAATATAACATTCATTATAACAAACACTAGTTATAGTATTACATTTTTCATTATTCAAACAATGACAAGTATAACTATTGACATATCTAAAATTATAACCTGGAATTATAACAATATAGTTTTCATTATAAGAAACACTATTTAATTCTGCTTGAATACCAAGTGACAAACTTTGGCTGGCGTAAAGTAGGCTAAATATGGTACTATGTGTATCTGTCTTGGACTCAAAAGTCTTGTAGGTTAGAAAAGTCACAGGGACAAAAATATATCTAACCCTAACCCTAAACAATTAAAACACAATCTGGATGGTCATATTTTAATTCAATCGCATTCACATTGTACCTCATTTTCAACCGGTTTCTATATAAATTAGTTTGTAGTCCACAAAATATCAGGTTATGTGCTAAAGTAAATAAAACTAAGTAAAGCTACACTAATTCAATGTTTAATCACCAGGATCACGTTTCATAATTAAAATAATATTTTGTACCAATATACTGTTTAGTGTATATAAGACATATAAAATCATCGTATCACGAATACGGGTTTTGACATTGTCTCATCTCGAGGAAGTATGAAGTATGACGAATGGGGGCGTGGTTTCGATACGATGTATCGAAATAGGCATTGGTAAGTAAGCACAACTAAAGATATACATGTATATTGATAAATGTCGGAAATAGTCAATATGCTAATTGATTGCAATACCTCGCTGATCATCACCTCACAATATACAATATTAATACCGAAAATAATGAACTATTAAAGATATTTTTTGAGTAATAGAATGAAATGAAATGACAGAATAACATAAACAATGACTGTACATTTCAAGAAGGGGTATAGCAATGTCTTTCTGTATCAATAAATATTGTATATTTGTCAATGCATTTATACTCATATGCCAATGATTTTCTACATAAAAAAAAATATGATATGACATGACAAAACATGAAATACAAAATATTTTTTTTACCATTCAATAAAAAAAGATAGACATTGTAGTACACGCCGTTATATAAAATGAAAGCTTCAATTTACTAAACGAAATGAAGCACGAAGTCCCAAATGTACAGGCCTAAGCGCTCTGTATCTGCTGAGTATTGTTCTTCTGTTCTGATCTGAAAATCACCTCGTCGATGATGTAGGTTGGGAGGGGGAGAATGACATCAAAAATGTTTGGTCGTCCTGGATCAACAAGATTTTACGTGTATATTGATGCCTCTGTTTTGCACGACAAAATCCCTATTTCAAAATACAAAGCGTTGTCAATCGTCATTTTGTTAATTTTAGAGCTAATACGAAAAACGTTAACCATTTCATTTTGATATCTCCCAAACCTTAGCGATAATTCAGAGCATACAGTATGGTTGAATTCGGTTAAATCCATATAATTCGATGAGTAAATATTTTTTTTTTATAAAAACAAATTATATAAGGTCACGATTCTATAAAAGTAGGATTTTGGATTACCAGTGTACAAATCTATAGCAGAAAAGTAACTTACTCTGTATATGTATTATTAGTCCAAGAAATACACTACCTAATATCAGAGACGCCATATTCGATTGCATAAAAAAAATTAAATATTCCTATGAAAATATTGTAAGTCCACGATTTTATTATTATCATTAACAAGGAAGTCGACGAATTTATTATTATTAACAAGGAAGTGAATTACACCTTAAAGGGATTGTAAAGCGGTTTGCTACAAATTTTATGTACATCGTGGACACTGATATCATCAATTTGCAACATGAAAATTTTCAACTAGACGTCTGGGGTTCCTGCAATTCCACTAAAACGAATAAGATGACGTCACTAATCGCAAAATATACCTTATAACATAATTATGGACTTCGCGATTAGTGACGTCATAAAACGCTTAGTTTTAGTGGAATTACAGGAACCACAGACGTCTGGTTGAAAGTTAAACGATGCAAATTGTTCACGATGCACATAAATTTTGTAGAAAATCTCGTTATAATCCCTTTAAGGTGTAATTCAATTCACAGGATTTATAACTTCAAACAAGTTTGATAATTGTCTCCAATAATTTTATCGTCATCATCCGTCATCAGACCGTCATCATCCAATAAGATTTATTTTCCTTTCCATTTCATGCTCCGCACGTGATCGCTTCTAGAGAGGATTCGAGTCGCCGACCAAGACCGTTGTGTACCCACACCTTAAAAACCCATGGAAAATATCGTATCAATTGAAAGAAATATTGCCCAACTACATTTTAATATGTAATGCGATTGCGGATTTCAACACTGGGCTATTTGTCTTAAGTAAATACCACGTGTTTGTTTTCTATAAAACGCTTACCTTCTGGATAATGATAAACGTGTCATAAAGGACGATTTAAAATTTCGAGAAGAAATAAATGGTATTTTGTGAAACACTAAATTTTTAAAATGTTTGAAATGGATCACTATTTTCACCAAAAGGATTTTCTGATTTTGGAAGATGTAAAATCAACACGTTTTGTTGTTTGCAAATGTTCCGAAGACTTAACATCCAAAACAGGTGAAAAGAAGATTACCAACTATAGCAAAATTGTAACAAAATTTTATTGATTTAGGCCTATGTTCGAGTGCCTCTCGTTCAGCAAATGTCTGATCGACAAACTAAATTTGCTCTAAAACAATAATCGAACATAGTCTTTAGTGTACTATTTTCAAGTTCAGTATATAGTAATGTTTATAGACCCTATTTTAGTTCCTCTTTTCTATGTCATCGAATATGGCGGCCATTAATACAGCTTGTATATTTGTGGGAGTTATAATACACATACATGGTAAGATATATTGATATCGTTATAATCATGAATAAGAACAGAAGAAAACCCAATATCAAGACCCTTAATCCTAATTTCTAAATAAAGTGTCTGCTCCACCCTAGGCCTGTACATTTGGGAGAATGAAACCCTCCCTTCCCCGAAATCTAATACTGTCCGTGCCAGGCCAGATCAGACAATTTATTTTGACTTTGGTATATTTTATTTCATCTTATATATATTTTATTTTTTTGTATATATTGTATATGTTAGGATTTTGACATTTGTTTCTCGTGCATATAACAAACTTTCTTCAAAAAAATTTGCATTAATCTTTTAATCTAACCAAGTAAATTTAATTGCCATTATTTATGTTTTTCTTTCATGTAAATTATACTCCGAGATAATCCATCCATTTAAATTACTACTCGGGTATAATCAAAATTCAAAGTTAGTTCTAATCAATTTACAATTCACTAATCCCGCTTATTTTATCAAATATTTCTCATGTTTATTTATTTTATAATTTTGTATTCTAGATTTCTGATTATTTATGTTTTTCATTTATGTAAATTGTACTCTGAGATAATCTAATCCTCCTGAATTATTACTCAGATATAATCAAAATCTAATCCAATATTTCTATAATCCTCAGTTGATCAAAGATATGACTCAACTAATTAAGAAATCAAAAATAATCCTAATCCTCAACTATCA